TTCCAGTTCCATCCATGTTGCTGCAAATAGCATAAGTTTATCTTTTTTGATTTCTGAGTAATATTCCATTGTGTATATATACCACATCTTCTTGATACAGTCATTTGTTTTTAGGCATTTGGGTCAATTCCACATCTTTCTGATTGCAATTAGGGCAGCAATAAACATAGGGATGCACCTGCATCCTTTGAATTATTGAATTATTGAATAATCCTTTGAATTATTGCTTCTGTGTCTTTTGGGTGGATACCTAGGAGTGAATTGCTGCATCATATGGAAGCTCCATTTTTAGCAATTTGAGAAACCTCCATACAGCTTTCCACAGTGGTTGTACCAGTTTGAATTCCCACCAGCTGTGTAGGAAAGTTCTTTTTTCTCCACATCCTTGCCAACATTTACTGTTGCTTGTTTTTTTTTAATATGTGCCATTCTCACTGGTGTGAGATGGTATCTCATTGTGGTTTTGATTGCATTTCCCTTATTACAAGTGTTGCTGAACATTTTTTTTCATATGCCTGTTGACCGTCTCCATTTCCCCTTTGGAGAAGTGTCTTTGTAGCTCATCTGCCCATTTTTTGATGGGGTTGTTCACTTTATATCTGTTGAGTTTCACCTAAGATTTTCCTCAAGTTCAAGAGAATGTTCATTCATTGATTCATTAAAAACAAAAAACCAAACTACTATAGACCAGCACTGTGCCATAGACTTTGTTATTTCATTTTCTTAAGCATGAAGTGTTTTCTGACTGTTAGAAGAGACGAACCAAGAACAGAGATTTGTCTCTGGACATAACTTTTCATAGACAAAGCCAGATGTCAGCCTTCTTTAAAAAAACAGTGGAAATGCTGACTACTACAGGCTTTATTCCCATGTGGCTACAGTTGGCCGGAGGTGAAATGCCACTTCTCTCTTTAGCCCTTTGGCACAGTCTCCACTGTCCCCTGTCACCTTATTCCTAGCCTGGTGGTGTCCTCAGGCAACCTGCTGCCTGTGTGGTGGGTGGACAGAAATCAGTGACAGCATAAAAAAGAGCAGCCACCAGCTGTATAAGACCCACTTATTAAACCCAGATGCAGGAACATTCTGGAATTTTTTTGGTCTGGTAGTGAGAATGATTTTAATAAATAGTTTGAGGAAATTTAATCTACATTTCAGAAAGAACTTGTTTCTAATGCATCAGTGACAAAAAGGATAATGCTAGCCCAGGGAACAAACTCTCTACTCTCTTTTTTGGAGTGTAAATGTTCAGAAAAGCCCATGTTATGCTAAGGGCAGTGCAGTTAAATGACAGAGCTCAGTGTGGTATGGTGGGGTGAAGTCCTGCAGGCAAGACTGAGAGTGTTTCTGAAGTCGTTGGATACTGCAGATACTGGAGGACCATGCAACCTGAGTCTGCTGAGCCCTGGGCTTTAAGGAAACCTACCTGAGAGACGGGGATGGCAGTTTGGCACTAGGTTCATAACTAACTGGGCTAGTTCCAGGGTGGAGGTGTCAGGTAAAGGCCTCTCTTGCTGGAACTCTATATCAAGGCTGTGAACTTAAGGGAGAAATATCTATTAACTCAAAGTAGGGCTTTAAAGGAGATAGGAAAGAAGGGGAGAGTGGTGGTGGAGAAAAATAAGGTTAAAACAAGGTTTTCTATTTTGGGCCCTCCCTGGTGGTGCAGCAGGTTAAAGCACAGCACTAAGAAGCTAAAGCCACTTCCACATGAGTTCGACCCCCACCCTGGAGGTGATCCACATGGTGCGGCAGACCTCTCCTGACCCGCCCGCTGCTCCTCTCAGCAGTGTACTTTGTCGATCTGCCTGTTCTGCTCCCCACTCTGTTTCTGGTGAACCCTCTCACCGCCCTTGAGCCTCTTGCCTGTACCCCAGTTCTGTATACACAGATAAATAAGTCTTTAAAAAAAATGGTTGTGTATTTTTAAACTGTTCCTCTTATCACCTACTGTCCTTATGAATTTAATTATGACCAGCAACAGTATGTTCTGAATAAAAAAGACACAGCAAATAATTTACAATTATTTTGAGATTCTCCCAAAAGCCATCCAAGGCAAAAAGCCATTCCTCACTGTGTGAGCTAGCTGAGTAACCTCACGAGCATCATGAACTGTGGATTTTGCTTTCATATGTGCTTAGCAATGGTCTCAGTGAAATTTCATAGCACAAGACAGCTGTAAGGCACATCTGTTCAGAATCCAAAAAAAAAAAAAAAATCAGCTCTATAGCATTGTTGGGAAAAATTAAGCTTGGCACCAGCACTCTGGAAAAACCCTTGCAAGTTTGAATTGGGTGCAAATTTAATATGCTGCAAATTTAATGAAATGTTAGGCTGTGCATGGAATGCTAATATCTAGTCCTGTCGTAAGCTGAGCTGTTCAAACCACACTCAAAGCACTGTCATAATTTTGATCATTTTAAGAAAGATTTGGAAAATTAGGGCTTGTTCCTAGAAAAGTAGTCAGGAAGAATCTAGAAATCATGACATGGGGAATAACTGAAAGACCCAAAGGTGAGAAGTCTCCAATTTAGCCTGAAGAAACAGAAATAAAGGAGGGAGCCGCTATGGGTTACCTTCGGATATTTGACGTCTTGGCTGATGCAAAACAATACTTGGTAAAACAATGTCAGAAATAAATATCCGGTGAATGAGTAGATGAACAGAACATGCATATGTGCGTGTGTGCATTGTTTTCCAAGAACGGGAACACATGGCAAATTTTACAGGAAGGGAGAGAGCTTTAAAGTGCCATAAAAAGTAATTTACAACAGCCCGTGCTGCCTAAGCAGTCACAGGACGTGGAGCTTGATTAGGAAAGATTTGAGAAGGAGCTGCCTAATCCTTAGAAGAGCGCTGTAGAAGAGATGGTGACCTGTAGTGGAGAATCAGGTTCCTACCGCAGAGAAAAATGGAAGGCAAGGGCTTGGAGATGGGACCTTTGCTGCTCAGCTGAGTGACTTTAGGCAAGATACGCGGCCCCCTAAGCATTTCTTTCTTTCTCCATTAAGCGGGATGTGAGAATGAGCTGAGATGATGAGCGTAAAGTCCTAGTAATCAAGTGGACTCTGGATAGATGTTAGTTGACTTTTTCTAGATTTGATGGCTTTTGAAGTAACAAGAAAGTGAATTCCTGGAGCTGCTGTCAGAAATCACTTAGGGGTACATCCAACTTAGGGGTCACTGGTGCACCTCCTGACTCAGAGCCTGCATGGGTCTCCCTCACCCCCAGAGTCTGTTCAGGCCTATTTGCAGACTTAGTTTTCAGTGCTCTGGTGTCATGGCCCTAGGTATTCAAAGTACCTAGGTATTCCCTGAGACTGCATGGCCAGTGGAGACCACATATCTAATGAAAGGAGGTGAGTTTGGATGTCAGGCAAACTTCGGTGTCCACTGGGTCCAGTTGCCTGCATTTTTCTCATCCTAGACAATGCTTATCTCACCAGAGTGAGGGTAAGTAGCAACCACAAAGGATTTGATAGTCAGCTTTCAGTGGGATCCTCTCAGCTATCCAGGGAGGCAGATGATGCTTGCTACACTTAGAAGAGAAGAAACAAGATTCAGAGTGTTGAAGCGATTTGCCTGAGGAAACAGCAAAACTGATATTTGATCCAGTTCTTTATCTGCAAGGCTCATCATCCTTCATTTTTCGAGTGTCTGCCATGTCTGCCAAGTACTATGCATAGGACTTCTAATTATTCCCTCATTGGCTATTGCGGTGCCACACGGAGATGTCAGCCATGCCAAGAATCTCCTGGGGACACCACTGGTGTGAACTTTCCGAGACACATGGAAAAGGTTATTCTTCATGGGACTGCTTCTCCTGGCACCTGGCTTGGGGATGGAC